TTTATTAGCAAAAACGCTTCTAAATTAAGACAATGCAAACAAAGTCAGTGTTTTGAAAGTTAACAGTTTCTTTCAACAACTTGTTGTTATCTTTCTTTCACATAGCTGGTAAGTGGCTATAACCAAATAAGCCCAAACAAGTGTTAAAACAAGTGTTTCTACTTTGTCGTTTCATATTTAAATTATGATACCTAATAAAGACAAACAATCAATAGAATTTGGTGACGTGTTTTTGTAGGGACAACTAGGGTTACACGATTTGTGTGAAGAGGTGAGGCGTGTACAAAGACCATTTCTCCTCCACTGCGCCGCTCTAAACACTAAAGAGTCCAAACTTGTGACTTAAAATTAATTAATACACGAACGTACGATTACTGAATTATTTAACAATAATTAAAACACCTACCTAGTGTCAACTCTAACCTCTAATCAACTATGAAGTTCCAAGTTTGGTACCATAATAATCTAGAGAAAAATAATGGTAAAGTAGAGAAGACAATTATTAAAAGAAAAGAAGATAAAGTTAGACCAGATTTTGTTCGGAGGACAAAGATGAAAGATATGGTAGAGAAAGAGATGAACGATGCACGTGAGGGCTCGTGACTCCTACTCAGAGCAGTCTCAAGTCTGATTAAACCATTATAATAAACCAAAAAAACAAGCGCAAACCAGATCGACCTCGGGTTTGGTCCTAACCCCTCTGAACTATTTTGTCCTTTTATGAAGTGAGAGTGTTATCACGTGACCTACGCGCGTTACACGCGCCTTTACACTTGTAACCTACATTATTATTCTATACAACTTTCACAACTACTAATTTCATTTTTTTTTGTATTTATGCTCTTGACATCTCTACTTTTTTTTTTTGTTTTACTAAAAAAAACAAAGTGAAATTTCAAAAATATGAGATTTGTTGAAGATTAGGCGGTCCTTAAATAATCTAAGGACCCGGTAAGAGTCAGCAAAACCAATAAAAAAATGGGATTACTTTTCAGTAAAAGAGTTGTTGTTAATATTCCCTTCTGCAGAGTTCTCAATTTTTGTATTCAGAGTATCGGATCCACAAAAAATGCAGAATTTAAAAGGTAATTATGCAGAGGGATCAGATGATTTTCTTTTTTTAAAAGTTGATTTTGATTAAAAGATAAAAAATCAATTAAGGAGAGAGTTGAAGAGACATGATGTCAAAACTCTCGCCTCACGTGAGTCAGTGTGTGTAAAATTCAAACCCCCCACTGCCTACCCATTGTATATATTATTCTAATTGTCTAACTAAACAAATTCATATTCTTAAATACCATTAAAAAAAAAAAAAAAACAGTTTAAACATTATCACACACTATTTTTTTTGGTTTTAATGTTAAGATATCACACACTATTTTATGTTTACAAAATTAGTTTTTGAGAAAGCATAACAGAGAAAGGATCCGTTATGCCCGGTAACTTATAAACAGTCAATTATTTTAAACAATTTTTTTATATAATTCTAAAATAATTAATAATATTTATTAAAAAATTACAAGAAAAAAAAGGAAAAGGAGGTAACGTACTATAGGTGCCGAGGTACAAGTACTTGTTCCCAAACACTCTTCCAATCCGAGCCTCCCATCTTCCGTTATGGTGATGCCTGTTTTTATCAAGCACAATTTCTACTATTTTTTAGGATACATTAGAAAAAAAACTGTTTAATCCATAGAAGAAAATCATTTCTGCTAACACATTTGTAAAACTTTAAAAATCTCATCTTTTTGCAGTACTGATTTTCTTTATAAAACATAAAACAAAAGACAGAATATTCTAAAAGCAAATTTTCATGATCATATTTTTTCCTATTATTAATTCTGTTATTCAGATATCCAAAAAAGGGGAAATTATTTCTCAATTTGGTAGTGAATTCCGAAATTAAAAGAATAAATCTATAGAAATTTATAAAAAAAAAAAAAAAAAGAAAGAGAAAGAAAAAAAAGGAACCTAGCGACGCCGCGATATTTAGAGACGCCTCTGGAGAAACCACTGCTCTGGCGGCGGAGAGAAGCCAAATATTCTTCCTTTGTCACTCTCTGCATCTCTTCCAATTCCTTTGTGTACGTCTCTGCCTGATTTGTCCCCAATTTTTTTTTTTAATTCACACCAAAATCCAGATTCCAAAATCACAAACATGCATCAATCAAGAGTCTGATTTTTTTGGTTTACCGGAAAATTCAAGATGGTGTCGGGTCCCCAGTACTTGAGAGCAGCCAGATCGTACGTATGTGCTGCTGCTTCTTCGCTGTCATATGCTCCTGCAATTACGCGTGAAGCAGTTGAGATTCTTCTGACCAAATCCACCACTCTCTTTTTTCTTCAATTTAGTAAACACACAAAAATAAAAATTGATCTTTTGTTTCAGAGAATTAGAACTTACCCAGATAAACTGATGAAGTTGTAGATGGGCAGTGACGAAGTTGAGATCAAACAACAGATCAAAGAAACCAAATTTATCAGTTGAAATCCAGATCTTCATAAAAAAAAATCAAGAGTTAAGGGAAAAAAAAGACCAAACCTTGTTTGCCTTTCTTGTTCTGAATCGAATTCCAAGAGCTTTTGTCCCAAAGATGAGCCTCGAATCTCCCAGTCCATCTATGTCTGTAATATCCCACAAAACAACATGCAATCTTACAAATGCAGTTTCAGACAAAACCCAAATCCAATCTCAACAACCAAATTCTAAAAACCAATCATTTAATTTCAAAAAAACCTAGTGACTCCTCTGTAGATAGAGCTGCGTCTGGTAGAAGCAGGGCTTGTCGGGTTATGTGATTTATCACCAGAAGGAGACGATTTCTTAGCCCTTTTGGCTCGTTTAGGCCTGGGAGCCTCCGATTGAATAGGAGAGGAAGTAGTAGTAGAAGAAGAAACAGAGGAAGATGGAGAAGAAGAAGAAGTGGAAGTGGTTAAGCGCCTCTTCATTAAAATCTGGGAAAACAAAAAAAATGATTTTTGAGAGTGTTGAGTGATTATTTTCAGAGGAAGAAGGAAGAGTGGTTTAAGAAAAAAAGGAGGAAACGAGAAAGGGCAAGTTAAATAAACCCTGAAGGAAGAAAGGGCTAATTGGGTTCATTAACACAAAGAGTTAAAATAAAATTGTAAGACCAAACACTTGGCCTTCTGTTGCAGCCATGCTACCAATAGCTTCACTCTCCACGCTGTCTTCTTTTTTTTGTTTGTATTTTATACGTTTTTTTTATCATTAACTTTTTTGTACGTTTTATGTTTTGGAATTATTTAATTTAATTTTTTCTCTCTAATTTTTGGGGAAAAAGTTGGAATGAAAAATATCTTAATTTGTTTCTTTGCAATTCAATTTTTTTTTCCCTGGTCAACAATTTGATTTCTATATTTAAAATTGTAGAATCTACTATGAAGATGTTTTGATTTTAGAAAAAAAAATGGTACCAAAAATTAATTTTATTGAATTATATTCTTAGCTTGTTATGGTAATGGTCTATGAAAGTTGACTAGTTATTTTCACTTTTAAATTTATATGCTTTTGAGCTTTAAATTTTAATGCTTGTGTTTGTAAAATGTGTTAAATTACCTATTAAAAATCTAAATCTTTTTATCAGCATATTCGTCTATATTTTCCTTAAACGCTCCAAATTAGTTGTAACGCACTTTGAGAGAGCTCTATAATACCAAATTAGGTATTCAATGTTCGAAAATTTGTCGAATGATTTGCACGTGTCGATCTAATGCTTATCGTATTAATACATACTTAGAACATATAAAGTAAAAAATGTCAGATGATTAGCACGTGTCGATCTAAAAAGTATCGTAGAAAATGTCAAATCAGAACATATAGAAAGTGAAAAATTTACTAGATGATTAACAATTGTCAATCCGAAGCATATTGTAGAAAATGCCTGATTAGAGCATATGTAAAGTTAGATGTTCTAACCGTTATCATTTTTAACTTTACGCATGGTTTAAGCAGAAACACGAGTGTTTATATTCGCTTAAAACAATCAAAACTCATTTATTATAAACAAAACTATTTAATTCTAATGTTTAAAAATGATTATCATAATATTGACATGTAACATCCAAAAACCACCAAGATCAACGGTAGTCTAAATCGGTTTTAGAAAATTAGTTGCAACTTTTGTAGTAGGTTAAATTGTTAGTGATTCGTTTTAATGAATTAAGTTGGGTTGGCAAATAAAAACGTTTGACTAAATTTTTTTAAAACCTTTTTTTACTCTAGAGATATAATTGTTTTGTTCTGTCTATGTCGTATATTTAATTTTGTTAAATACTAATAAAATTAAATATACGACATAGTATTTTTATCAACAATACTAAAAAATTTTAGTGATCATACTAGTTTGCCCATTGGTTGATTAAGCATTGATTAATGCTTCTACACCAAGAGGTATGGGGTTCGAGTCCCAGATATTGCGATTTATTAACAAATTTGCAGATTAATGGAGACAAGTGTGCAAGAGATCTCTAACGATGTACAATTATAGCCGTTCGCCAGGATTCTACGCAGAGAAGGAAGTGTCGCCAGGTCGTGGATCATTGAAGGTATTCATCAAGATCACGAAGAATGAAGTGTAGTTTGTCGTAGATCTAGTAAGGGTCGGAAGGATTTATCTGTTGTAGAATCGTCTATGTAACAGTTCTCATAATTTGCAATTAATAATAAATCTAGACGACAAAAAAAAAAAAAAAAAAAAACATACTAGTTTGCTAATTATGTTCGAAAAAACTGTCTATTTGCAACTTATCCTTTTTTAAAACGGTCTAGAAATCTATACAGGAAGTATAGATCCTAAGAGAAGTCACAAAAATGAATCCTAACATTCCTACATTTTGGACTAAACAACGAGGTTTAGCATTTAAATCTATACTATTTTAATTGCTACAAAATGTTCACGCAATTTTCTAAAAGAACAGAGAATTTCTAAAATATCAACGCTCATAATATGATAACAAGAGTTTCGTTTTCGGTTTATTTTTGATTTGAAAATCAAAACTAAAAATTAAATATTATGCACATTTCCAAGACTAAAGTGGTAGTGATAAAGAGACCGAACTGTCTAGTCCCTTCCACTTCAGTTCACCTGAGTCTTTTCAGTTTCTCTCTTCTGTGATCGTTCTTCTTCTTGTGACTTGTGAGTATCTCTAAACAGGTTCTTGAGCTGATAAAAGGTACGATTTCTTTTCTTCTTCTCCTACTCGTGGCTCAGAAACTTGCTTATTCTTTTGGAATTAAGGTTTAATTTTTCTCGTGTCATATACTTTTACAGAGATGTCTTACGTTCCACCACATAAACGACATGAAAATGTTGCATTGAGAGCATCCTCTGTACCACCTTCTCTTCTTACAAAGCTCAATAAAAACCTCGGGAGTACTAATACAAAGATAATCTACGCAAACGATTGCATTTCTAGATGGTTTCTCGTTGGTTCAGAATCAGAGGACAATAACTTTCAACTTGTGCCCGTTTCTTTAAAGTGGAGGAAAGACGCAGAAGAAAAATCTTTGGGAATCTTAGTGAAGAGTGATTTTGGAAAACAGGAAACTCCATGGTTATGGGTGACAGAGAAAGTGGAGGATGATCTTATAAAGGGGTTTGATAGGGCAAAGAAGACGTTGCTACGTTACGGTGGATCAGAGGATGTCAAACTCAGACTGATCGCTCGATTTGGTAAAGTTGTTTTCCATGGGTAAGGGTTTTTGTCTTTTCCTCAAATCTTTTTCCATTCATTTTTTTCAGACACACACAAACTCTGTTTTTACATGGTGCAGGGTTAGTGATTAGCCTTGTGTTGGTCTAAGAGCATTCTAATTACCTTAGGTGGTTTGTTAGCTAGAGCTAACATGTAGGCAAATGAGTTAGGGACTTTTGTTTGAGCATTTCTAATCGAGTATTTTTTATGTTGAATAAAAGATTTTACCGATTCTTATCTTATCAAATTGATGCAGTGTTAGTTCATCAGATACTCTAAGAGATGGTCCGTTAACTAAAAGCACATTGGAAAATTTGAAGAAAACGTTTCGTACAAATGTCCCAAAGTCTTACGTTGAAAACGTTAGGTATGGAGTTGTGCACAAAATGAGATTTTGTGTTGAAGAAACCAAAGAGTTGTATCACGTGAAGGTGGTTTTAATTTCTTTTGTAAGATTCATGATTGTGTCTCTTATTTCGTTTTTATTTTTTGAGGTTTTGGTTTCTGATTTTTTAGGTCGCAGACAACACTCGTCCTGATGTAACCATCTCATGTAAATGTTTGGTGGACCAACAACATAAACGACTCAATTTCTATAAGGTAAGTCCTACTAGGGGTTGGTATAGTCCTGTTCCGTCCCGTACCCGTTCCTACTTAATTACCATATTTTTATACGAGACTGATATTGAAGCTTTTGTTTGCTTTTTATTTAGGCGGAGCTTAATGCTTTGAGGCACTTAACTCTTGACGTCTCATGCCTTGATCAAGATCTTGACATGAGGTTGGTGGTTGACTCAAAAGGGACATTAACCAATCTCTCAGTGAGTTGACTTTGGATATTCCATATTTAGTATCCAAGAAAATGAGATGAAGAATATTAAACAAGTGATATAGTTTAAGATGTGAAATATATGCCTCTTTGTATATCCAGGAGAATGAGATTAAGAATCTCAAAGAATTGACTGATTCAGCGGTGATAGATCCAACTGTGAAAGGTGGGTTAAAGTGGCCACTTGGGAAATCTTCTTGTGCGGATCGATATAGAGTTTGTGGTGTTTGGCATACTGTAACTACTACGTACAGAAACCAGACTCTGAGGCTTCAAATCCGAGAGGCTGATCGATATGATTTCCGCACAGGAATTGGAGGAACCTCAAGTGAAGTGAATTTCAAATTGAAAGCCTTAAAAAGTAGTATACTACTAAAGGTAACATTTTATTTTCTTGTTCTTTTCTTTGTTTAGACATTGTCTTTTATTTATAGTGATGATCAACAAGTGACAATAGTTATGTTTACAATTTCAGGAGGAAGATGTGGAGAGGAAATGTGTTACAGACATGCTGAAAGATTGTCTGAAAGCAGTTTGGGATTACTTTCTGAAAGAAGTGTAGTGTTACTCACTTTGTTTTTGGTGTGTTTCTTTTCAGTTTGTTCTACTTACTCCAAACTTTGCTTCTTTTTCATAGTTTGTTTCATCTAATTTGTGGCAATATCTTTTGGATTGGAAAAAGTATTTGATATATTAATATATTATCGTTTAGATTTTCAATTTTCAACTTTGTTTGCGTGTACGTTTTCATCAATTCTCAGGTGTGATTTGCGGATTTAACAAATTCAGAATTTATGATTGATGGATTTACCCATAAGACATTCTAAAAGGAAAAGGAACTGGTCTTTTCTTTCTTTTTCTCATACATTTTTGCGGTTTACAAGAAAAACTGAAAAATGTGAGAATTTTTAACGAATAAAAATATAACCAACTCAAGTTAAAAGTAGAGATGTACCGAACAGCGAACACAGTTACGATGATTTCAATTATAAAACCGAAAAATGAATAAGAACCGGTAATAGCCAAACCAAAAGAAGGCGCAATTTCAAATCTCCAATGGTTTCGAATTTCATAAACCGAGAACTGAAACCGGAAACAATCAAACCAAAATATTTGGTGATTAAAGAATTAATCAGGACTAAGTTATGTCATTTCATCTCCTGCTAAAACTAGTCGTGATTCGTCGTCTCTGTCATTGAGCACATCTCTCTACCATTCCTGAGAATTTTGAGCCAAATCCTTCATCACCAAGCCAAGTCTCAAGGTACTCATTCCTCTCTCGCTCTTGTTTCTTCTGCTACTGCAACTGCTATGCGTCGTTTGATTTCTCCTTCAATTTCGTCTTATCCGATCATTTTTTTTTTTGACCTATCTCTATACTTTGCTTCCGGAACTAAATAACACCGATCTTTAAATTGCGTCGATTTTCAACCTCATCGGAGCATCAGAACACGTTTTCCGATTCGTAATTGCTGCTCTTCGGTGTTAATCTACTCAATTATGGATCGCGATTCTATACGATTTGTAATTTATCTCTCGATTTTGCGATTTACTGTTCCTCCTCTCTGGGTGTTCTAGGGGTTTATCTTGTTTTTACATCGTGATTTTCTCATATATTTCTGGATTATGATTCCATATTTGGTTTTGCATTCCAGATCTGATTGTGGTTTGGTTGACTTCTTCTTCTCTAGAGGCTTCACGAGTTCAAAAATGAGTCAGAAGGGTTTGATATATAGCTTTGTTGCTAAAGGAACAGTTGTTCTAGCGGAGCATACTCCTTATTCAGGCAACTTTAGCACCATTGCTGTTCAATGTCTGCAGAAGCTACCCACTAATAGCAGCAAGTATACTTACTCTTGCGATGGTCATACTTTCAATTTCCTTGTTGACAATGGTTTTGGTGAGTTTTCTGAATCCTTTTTATACTTGTTAATTAGTTGAAGCTTTTTGATTTACTTCTGGTTTGGTGATGCTTTGTGTATATATATAGTGTTTCTTGTCGTTGCTGATGAGTCCACTGGAAGAAGTGTTCCTTTCGTGTTTCTTGAACGGGTCAAGGAAGACTTTAAGAAGCGGTATGAAGCGAGTATAAAGAATGATGAGCGACATCCTCTTGCAGATGAGGACGAAGATGATGATTTGTTTGGAGATCGGTTTAGCATTGCATACAATCTTGACAGGGAGTTCGGGTCTGTCTATAGCTGTAACTATCTGATATCAATCATTGTTTCGCATTTCAACCGTGTTCTGATTCTTTTCTTTCTCCTCTAAATAGGCCCATACTTAAGGAGCATATGCAGTATTGTATGAGCCATCCAGAAGAGATGAGCAAACTTTCAAAGTTGAAGGCCCAAATAACTGAGGTCAAGGGGATCATGATGGACAACATTGAGAAGGTATGCCTTTGTCACTAATTATAGGAAAAAATGAACAAGCTGAGACATTCTGATTAACAGTAGCACGCCGATCTTGTATTTTTGGTTTAAGGTGATAGCATTTTTATCCACATGATTTTGCAACAAAAAAAAAAATACTGTAGAAAGATACTGAACAACACATACCTTCTAGAAGAGCTATTTGACACCAAATGAATGGATTTACTTTCATGGTAGTTTTACTGGATAAATGTATCAATTGCTCTTCTCACAACCATTCTTTCATTGCCCTATATCTGGTAAGTTATATTGTTTGCGGATTACTCTCTGTGTCTTCTTTCCAGACCCCTGTCAACTTTTAAAACTATGACATATTTGGTTTGAGCATCTAAGTCTTTTAGAAATTAAGAAGTTGCATGCAACTTGAGTAGATTTCCAGACCCTTTTGACCGGCTTGGTGTCATATACATCTCAATTAGAATTTAGTACTGAGGAAATTTACATAGGATAATTACAGCATGAACTCCCTGCTTCTCAGCATAGGAAAGGAATTGGTTTTGCTATAGTACCTTAAGTTTGAGGTCAATAATGTTATAAACAAATTAACTTCAAGTAATTTTCATCAAAATCCAATTTTTTTGGTGCTGGAAAAGGTTAGGCTAAAAAGTAACTTCAGAATTTGTCGTAGCATCTCTAATAGAAGATGGGGTTTGTCCCATTTTCACTGAACTAGCATGTGCCACTAGATACTGATTATGAGAATGAAACGATGAGGATTTGCAGCTGTTTTTGATGATTCTCTTGTTGATGTTATAACAGGTTCTGGACAGAGGAGAGAAGATCGAACTTCTGGTTGACAAAACCGAGAACCTACAGTTTCAGGCGGATAGCTTCCAGAGACAAGGAAGACAGTTAAGAAGGAAGATGTGGCTACAGAGTCTGCAGATGAAGCTGATGGTGGCTGGTGCTGTTCTCTCGTTTATTCTCATCGTTTGGGTTGTTGCTTGTGGAGGTTTCAAATGCTCATCATGATGTTTCGCTTCGTTTGTACCTGTTTTAACACTTAAATCGCATGCTCATGTTTGTACATGGAAGAATTTATAATAACATATCATCATCATCTCCCACATGCTGTGATGCTATATATAAATGAAAAAAAAAAAAAGAGAGGGTGTTTTGTGTTTTAAGTTGCCGTGTCTGTTCTATTCTATGCGATCAGCAATTTTCTTTAAGGCGATCTTCAAGATACATGGTATGCGGTTATGCCCTTGGTTAGGCTTCGACTGATGTTAAGAAAAAAGAACAAGGAAATTGTTTGTATTAAGTTTTTAGATTAAAAAAAAAAGAGAGGAAAAAGTGATAATCCAAAAGCATATTAGAATGTTCTCATATACTGCTTTAAACTCTGTGGATGATGAAGCAAAGAGCAAAAGGCGAAGCGTAAAGGTGAGGTTTAAGTAGGGCAAATCACATGGGAGGAACAAAAAAAAAGGTAACAAAAGTAATTTCTGCAGCTTGTTTTTTTTACACCGTTTCTCGTTTGATAAAGCGGCATGAAATAATTTCATAAAGGGGTATTTCATATCTTTATAATTATCCACACACCTACTCTCTGTCTATTCTCTATATAAATTGTCTACAGAGATAAAGCGAGATACGAATAAGCAAATACGGCTGGCTTCGTTTTTACTATGATTGTGGATGGTGAGAATCTATAACCAATCGATTTTCTAAAAAGTATATGGTATTTGACATAAGTGGAAGGTTATGAATTAAAATATTCAAATATATAAATGAGTAAAGTAAACATGGCACCTTATTATTGATAACAACCATACATAACAAACCAAAGATTAGTGTTTTCAAATATACCACATGATCCATCGGAATTCGAAGGTATACACTAGTTAATGCGGTCTCTAACGATAGTTGCATGGAATCATAAATCATTTTAATAGATCTATCGAATAATAGAAATGTATGAACTTAAATATTTTCCAGTCTTTTAGATTTAGAGATCCGTACATTTGCATGATTTATAGAGTAAAGAACGTTTACACTGCATAGCAAATGTTGAAGGTCTCTTCCGTGTTCCATGGCTCTATCTATATCCATTCTTCCAAACTTTAGCTAAATGGTATTAAATTTCTAGTGCCATTCCAAATTTTATCAACAAAAGAAAGAACCTTTCTAGTGTCATTTAACTTGATTAAAAATTAATTAGCTAAAAAAGTATCAAAAGAAACTGTAATATCATCATGATTTTGTTTTTGATTAAAAAAAAAAAAAAAAAAAAAAATTAACAAAAAAAAAAAAAAAAGAAACTGTCATATCTATTTGGCCTCAGGTCCCAAAATAGCTGGCACGGGCCTGCGAGTATATAGTTGATAGTTATAGCCTTGTAGGGATTCTATATTGATAAATCATCATGATGACAATCTAACTTTTATATATACAAACTACCAGAGAGAGGTTCAATATGAAGAAGTTGTTTGTGAGGAAGAGCATCGGTGGATGTTACTTGGTTAATTAAATCTCTGTGTGTACATCATTACATTGATCACAATATATACAATTGAGACTAAGGCTACACAAGATGTCACAAAAGGAATATTACATATTTGACATATTTCCTTGACTAATAGCTGAAACACCCGGGCCTCAATACGTAACGTTCCTGAGACAAGAGAGTGATCGTAATAAAGAGTTATAACTCTTGAAAATTTACATATCTCGATGCTTTGAATATTACTACTCCATATATGACAAGATTTCATTAATGATATCTTTCTTTCAGGTAAAGTGAAAAGTGAATTTAAGCCATGAAAAAAGAGAAATGGCTAATGTAAGTAAAACTTATGAGGCGCATTAATAGCCATTAAGGTTGCACTGAATGTAATAAAAGACTTTATTAGCAAAATTATGGTTGCGTGTAGGCCTGGGCATTCGGATTTCGGATCGGATTCGGTTCGGATTTATTCGGATTCGGATAATTCGGATATGAGATTTTATTATCCGTTCGGATTTTATGACTATTCGGATCGGGTTCGGTTCGGATAGTGTCGGATTCGGATCGGTTTCGGATCGGTTTTCGAGGAAAAAAAACTAAAAAATGTTCAATTTAGATAAAAAAAAAATAGTTTAATTTTACTAAAATTTGGCTAAGTTTTCAAAAAATATGTATAATATTAACAAATATAACTAAAAACTTTCCAATATCTAGGTTATTTAGGGTATTTTTGTTATTTGTTATAAAATTATAGCTAAATATAACTAATATTTTTGGATATATAATTTTATTTTTGGTTTTCGGATATCCTTTCGGTTTTCGGTTCGGATCGGGTTCGGTTCGGATAATTCGGATAGGAGAATTCATTATCCGTTCGGGTTTTGTGACTATTCGGTTCGGATTCGGAGCCGGATTTTTCGGATCGGTTTTCGGATTTCGGATTTTATGCCCAGGCCTAGTTGCGTGATACTTAAATTAACAATTAATTAACACCATCTTGTCAAAATACATTAAAGGGTTTTTGGTTGCATGAAACATGTAAATTGTATTTTAACCTAATATATTCGAAAGAGAATTGGATTTATGTGAGTGCCGAGTCCAAGAGTGATTTCGATGATAGATTGATAGAAAACATACTAAAAGAAACCGATTCATTATCTCAAAACTAATGTTAACTTGATTTCGAAATAAACCAGAACTGGTTTCCTATTTACCATTGATTTTATTTTGGGTTATATATAGAGAAGATCTTCTTAAACAAAGACATTACTTAAGAATTATTGAAAAAAGCAAACAGAAAAAAAAAAAGTGTGGGTTCTCTCTCCTAGCAGGTGAACTAGCCGTTATCTCTTCTCGCCGTCTTAATCATAGCCGTCCCAATCTTTGGGTTTCAGTACTTCTCTCTCAGGTTTCTTCTGTCTGAGCAGAGCCTTCACCGGAGATATTCTCGTTTTCTGACCGGTTTTGAATTTCATCCTTTGAAAATTCCTCTGTTGAAGTAAAACTCTCTACTCTTGGTTGATTCTGGTGACTCTCGACATCAAGGTTTTATTATTTAGGTTTCAGCTTTAATTCTCCTCTGTTTTTCTGGTTTGGTTATTGGAAATCCGTGATGGATTTTCAATTGGAAAAGTATCTTCAGGAGATGTCAATTGAAGAAGAGGAAGATAAACCAATTATTCTCTCCAATCAACCTCAATTCTTCGCCACTGAAAGAAATTCGCGAAGTCTATTGGGTCGTTTTCTTAATCCTGATAATCAACGTATGAATAAATGGATCTTAGAGATGCCTAGAATCTGGAGATTATATGATCGGGTTCGTGGGATAGCTTTATCAAGGGATCGATTTCAGTTTATCTTCAATAATGAGGCGGATCTTATTGAGGTTTTGAAAACTGGTGTGTGGACTCAAGACGATTGGTGTGTAGTTATGGAACGTTGGGTTGAAAATCCTCCACCTGATTACCTGATGTTCCTTCCGGTTTGGATTCGACTTCGAAATATTCCTGTCAATAACTATACTCAGGCCACAATTGCGACGATAGCTGAGCGTGTGGGACAGATCATTGATTTTCCTTTTGAAGAAGAACAAGCTCAAAGTCGGGATTTTGTACGAGTCAGAGTCCTTTTAGATGTCTCTAAAGGGCTGAAAAATTTCAAGGAAGTGCAAACTCCGAATGGATCTATAGTTAAGATTGGAATTGACTATGAAAGGATTCGTAAACGCTGTTTTCAGTGTCAGAGGTTAACTCATGATAAATCAAAATGTCCTTTCATACCTCCTCCGAGCTTGACTGTTACTTTGAAGGAGGTTTCAGTTTCTACTTCATCTTTTGCTCAAGATAAAGAAGTTGTTGCTCCTATGAATTCTCCGTGCTCTAATCAGTCTCAAAGATCACCAAAATTATTGATTGATGCAATCAAAGCTTCCTCTTCTCAGACTTCCTTACCAGACCAGGTCAATCTACTTCCAGAGTTTTCATCAGGTACTTCTCTTTCTGGATCATCTTTTGTTTTCTCTTCTGGTTGCTTAGATGCAAGCTCTTCTGGCTCTCATTTAGAAGAAGGGACTGCTAGTAAAAAACCAGAGTCTTGGGTTAGAAAATCTAAAGAGAAAAAGGTTTATGTAAAAAAAGGAAGTATAGGAGCTTCTGTGGCTCCTTCTGAAGTTGGTTTAAAACGGAAAGGCCTAGATAAAGGAAAAGGTGTTGCTAAACATCTTAAGAGAGACAATGATACGGTGGTTCCTTGTGAACCATCGCAGTATCACTAGGCATCTTAAGTTGGAATTGCCAAGGTATGGGGAATCCTTGGACAATTCGGCATCTTAAGGAAATGAGAAGAATTCATTTCCCTGACATCTTATTCCTCATGGAGACAAAGAATTCAGAAGACTTTCTTTTAAAAGTTCATGGTTGGTTAGGTTATGATAATTTTAGAACTGTGGAACCTGATGGGCTCAGTGGAGGTCTAGCAATATTTTGGAAAAATATTCTAGACATTGAGGTACTTTTTGCTGATAAGAACCTCATAGATTTAAAGATTTCCAATGACTCAAAGATCTGGTTTATTTCTTGTGTTTATGGGAATCCAGCAGCTCATCTTAGACCTATAGTATGGGAGAGGATTTCTAGGATTGGTATTTTGAGAAAGGAGGCTTGGTGTATGATAGGAGACTTTAATGAAATATTATCTAACTCGGAAAAACTAGGTGGTCCTCTTCGTGTTGATAGTTCTTTTCAATCTTTTAAGAATTTTTTGGAGATCTGTGATATGTCTGAACTAGGCAGTACTGGTAATGGTTTTACCTGGGGTGGTATAAGGAACAAAGAATGGATTCAGTGCAAGTTAGATCGGTGTTTTGGGAACCCGGCCTGGTTCTCTATGTTCCCAAAAGCTCATCAATGGTTTTTAGAGAAACTTGGTTCAGATCATAAACCTGTACTGATGGAATTTTCAGGGGATAAAGAATTTTTTAGAAGTCAGTTCAGGTTTGATAAAAGATGGGCTGAGGACCCATCCTTTTTGAAAATGCTTACTCAAGCTTGGAACAAGGACCCTTCAGGAACATCTTCTGGTTTTCTCCTTAAAGCTGAACGTTGTAAAACAGCAATCCAAGGGTGGAAGAAGAATTTTTGGTCAAATTCAGATTGGAAGATTAGAAGATTAAGAAAAGCTCTAAAGCTGCAAGATGAATCTCTTAATCCTTGTTTTTCTCGCATTCGCCAACTTAAGTGTGAATTAGCTGTTGCTTTTAGGGAAGAAGAGATTTACTGGCGACAGAAGAGCAGGGAGAAATGGATGCATGATGGGGATAAAAATACAGAATTTTTTCATGCCTCAGTGAATTCTGCTAGAGCTAAAAACTCTTTGCTGTGTCTTGTTGATGATTTTGGAAAGGATCATTTCTCAGATAAAGAAAAGGGAGAAGTAGCTACTCAGTATTTCACTCAGCTTTTTAAATCTTCACAACCGACTCTGGCTTCTGATTTACTTGACAATTTTCAACCCAGAGTCTCATCTGAGATAAATGCTGATTTATCTAAATTTCCATCAGTTGATGAGATTAGAAATGCTGCCTTCTCCATTAATAGTGACAGTGCTCCAGGGCCCGATGGATTGACAGGTTTCTTTTTTAAGAAGTATTGGGAGATTATTAAACATCAAGTCATTACAGAGATCCAAAATTTTTTCCACACTGGTATTCTCCCTAAGGAATGGAATCACACAAATTTGTGTTTGATCCCTAAGATTCCAGCAGCTTCTAGAATGACTGATCTCAGACCAATCAGCCTCTGTTCTGTGCTTTATAAAATAGTATCCAAAATTTTAGTCAATAGGCTGAAAAAACATCTTCCTCGGCTTATTTCACCTACTCAGGCAGCTTTTGTTTCAGAACGAATGATATCTGATAATATTTTGATAGCTCATGAAGTGATTCACAGTCTTCATTCTCATCAGAAGTTTTCTAAATCATCCATGCTACTCAAAACAGATATGTCAAAAGCTTATGATAGGTTAGAATGGTCTTTTTTGAAAGGAATTCTTCAAGTTATGGGTTTCTCTGACATCTGGATTTCTTGGATTATGGGATGTGTAACTTCGGTGTCTTATTCGGTATTGATTAATGATCAACCTTATGGTTTCATAATACCTGAAAGAGGTATTAGACAAGGAGATCCTCTTTCTCCTTTTCTTTTTGTGTTAGGCACTGAAGCTTTGATTCACCTTTTTCAACAAGCTGAAGATCAAGGTGTTATTTCAGGTATAAAATATCATTCCTCTGCTCCAGCTATTAATCACTTACTCTTTGCGGATGATAGCTTATTCCTATGTCAAGCAACAAAAGATCAATGTGATGCAGTTCTGCTCTGTCTTGAGAAATATGAAAAAATGTCTGGTCAACAGATTAATAAGAAGAAATCTGCTATTACTTTTGGTTCTAAAGTTGCCGAGGATACCAAAGATTGGGTTAAAAATGCAACAGGAATTTTTTTGGAGGGTGGTACAGGGAAATACTTGGGGCTTCCTGAATGTCTTAGTGGTTCCAAACAGCAGCTTTTAGGGTTTATCAAGGAAAGACTTCAATCCAAGCTCACAGGATGGTATGCTAAAAAGCTCTCTCAAGGAGGAAAAGAAGTTTTATTGAAATCAGTTGCCATGGCTTTACCTGTATATGCCATGATGTGTTTTAAACTTCCTAAAAGTACTATCAAGAACTTGACTAGTGCTATGATGGAGTATTGGTGGGGTAATTCTCAATCTCAACACAAGATTCATTGGATCAGTCATGACAAAATGACAATGCCAAAATCTGCTGGTGGTTTTGGATTCAGGGATTTGGAATTATTTAATCAAGCTCTTCTTGCAAAACAAGCATGGAGATTATTGAATGACCCGGATTGTTTGTTTTCAAGATTCTTCAAAAGCAGGTATTTCAGGAAAACATCTTTCTTACATGCAAAATTGGGTTCTAGACCTTCTTATGGTTGGCGAAGTATAGTTTTTGGAAGAAATTTACTTAGCAAAGGACTCAAGAGTGTTATTGGTGATGGGAAGGATACCTTAGTCTGGATTGATAAGTGGATTTTTGATGAGTGTGCTAGACGTCCTGTTGGTCTTCATTCCCTAATGAATATTAATCTCAAGGTAGCCTCTCTTATTGATTGTCACTCTAGTTTATGGAATATCAGTCTTCTTAGAAGACTTTTTCATTATGATGATGTGATGCGTATTATATCCACTCCACCATTATTAGCAAGAAAAGATTCTTTCTGTTGGGCTTGGAACAGGAATGGTGTATACTCGGTGAGATCTGGATATGAGATGATCTTTAGACTGGCCAACAAGGAGAAATTTAGTGAATCAACCATTTCTCCTGATCTGTTTTCTGTGTTAGCTGATTGTTGGAAAGTTAAAACAGCTCCAAAAATTCAAGTTTTCTTGTGGAAAAGCATTAAAGGGGCTATTGCAGTTTCTGCAAGGTTGGCTACAAAAGGAATCAAGAACTATGATGGATGCCTTTTATGTGGTGCTGAGGAAGAGACAATCAACCACATCCTCTTCCTTTGTCCCTATGCTAGACAGGTGTGGGCTCTCTCTCATATTCCTTCTCCTTCTGGAGGTTTTGGACCTTCAGAAATGGTGAACTTAAAGTATCTTATAACTCTGCAAAAGAAGGCCAAGTGCATGATTGAGAGTAGATCAGTTTTTCCTTGGATTGTTTGGCTTTTATGGAAAAATAGGAACAAATTGCTTTTCAATGGCTCTCTTTATCCTCCAGAATTGTTAATACAAAAAGCTTATGAGGATTCTACAGCTTGGTTATCTGCTCAATTGTTAAGCCCTGAGGTTTTTCCTATTTCCTTGATGAAAGATTCTCATTGGTCTCCTCCATTATGGGATGAAGTCAAATGCAACATTGGTTTTTCATGGTCAAAAAAATATGCTCTGTCTGGTGCTTCTTGGGTTGTCAGAGATGCTATGGGTACTGTGTTACTCCATAGTAGAAGATCTTATTCTCAGGTTGCTTCTGTTTTTGAAGCAAAAATTAGGAGTTGGAAATGGGCTCTTGAAAGCATGCAAAGTTTGAAATTTGAAAAAGTTCTTTTTGGTGCTACAACATTTGAAATTATTCAGGCGCTACACAAACCAACTGCTTGGCCTTCACTTGTAAGTCATATTTTTCCTCTGTTACATTTGAGTAACAATAAGACTAGATGGGAGATCATTTTGGAACCTATTCAGTGTAATCTAGGCGCCTCTAGGATAGCTAGGAGTGTTACTTCTGATTACAGGATATCTTCGTATGTTGCTCAAGGCTGTCCTTCTTGGCTAGGGGAATTTTTTTATCAGGAGAAAAAACAAGCTGCATCTTTGTCTCATATGGCATTGGTTCCTGATATATTACCGCTATAAGAGTTTGACTTTTTGAAGTTTACTGTTTAGATAAGTCTCCAGTCAAAAGCATGGATTGATTTACTATATTTCAGAGAGGCCAAAACAAGATATTTTTTGATTTTTACCGATGATTATCTGCTATAATCATTGTTTTCCTTGGTTTGCTTACCACTCCTTGTCTTATTAGTCTTCTTTCTTTTATCTTACTTATCTCTTCTTGCCGCCTTCTTCTTTTTACCTTCCTATATATATTTCTTTCACTCAGTTCTTCACTCCTATACCTTCTCTTTTTCTCCTTTCTTTCTTCTTTCTTTTGCTCTTCTGGTTTTCTTTTTCTTTTCTCTTGATGGCGGATGAAATATGGCATGATTTGCAGCATATGGTTCTAGGGCGTGATGACCCTGAACTCCTTGTTCCACACCAAGTGTATACTAGTGTTGTTGCTAGCAACAGACTCAGTCTTATTGGGAGACCTCTCAACACTCATGCACAAAACCTCAGAAGGATCCTTAGTGCTTTACCTCGCAGTTGGGGCAGGGGCATGGCTGCAAGAGTTCATGGACGTATACTTGATGGTCAGTGTGTGCAGTTTCGTTTTCGCTCTGAGTCTGACTTAGTCTCAGTGATAAGGAGAGCTCCATGGTTGTATAATCACTGGTTTGTAGCTTTACAAAGGTGGGTGGACTTTCCAGGGCCTGATTTCCTCACTTTTATAGACTTATGGGTACAGGTAAGGGGAATCCCTCCCCCTTATGTGTCTGAGTTGTCGGTTCGCTTCATTGCTCATACTCTTGGACCAGTTATTGAAGTAGACTTTAATGAGATCACATCTACTCAGATAGCTTTTATCAGAGTTAAGGTGCGCATCAGTATTACAGATCGTCTGAGGTTCTTCAGGAGAGTCAGGTTTGAATCCAGAGAAGAAGCCATGATTGGTTTTGAATATGAAAGACTTCAAAGGATATGTACAAATTGTTGTCGTATCAACCATGATGTTGCTCACTGTCCTTACTTGGTTCCTCAGGCTGCTCCAAATAATGAAGAAAATGAAGATAACAATGATGCAGATGTTCTAGTGGTCCCTGTTTGGAATGAGGGAGCTGGATCTAACAATCCTACTCCTCCTCCTCCTCTTGAAAATCAGTCTTCAAGCTCAAGCTCGGAAATCTCCTCTTACAGTCCTATCTCTCAACCACCAAATCCTGCTTCTCCACTTTTGGACCTGAATCAGATGGTGGAGGAACATCGACCCATCAGATTTGATACTTCAAGTTCTTCTTCTAGTCGTGGAGTTCATACCAAAGCTAGATATGAAATTGGTGAAAGTTCCAAAAGGAAAAAAGACAAACAAGTGGATCTCAATTTTGAAAGAAACACTCGGAGATGCAGACAAGATCATGGAATCAGGTTTTATCCGGTTTCTGGTCAGCCACCATAGATCTTCTCTGTCCTTGGTAATAAGAGTATAACGTGCCCTTATACTCTGTAAACTCAACCTTTTGAGGGCATGAAGTGCTTTGTTTAACAAAAATAAGGAAGCACTTTGGTTTTAGTCAACTTTGGATGTTGGTTAACTTTGTGGAGGCTAGGCCTCTTTTAATAGTTTACTCAGTCTAAGTAGATACAATGGGGAGCCAGAAGCTGTCATAACACATGCATAAGATGGAAGCTTTGAAATCAGGAATGAAGACTGCAGTCTTTTTCCTCTGGTTTTATTGGGATTGTTATGATGTATAGCTTTTTAACAAATGCTGCCTTAGTTGTGATGTTTACTTAGTTGTTAACTTTGTTTATATATCTTTTAGCTCCTTTGTTTGTAAAATCTCTAGGTTGTAAATTATACTGCCTCTCCAAAATGGATTCCCATTGATGGATGCAGCCTCTGTTTAATATATATATCAGACCCTTTGGAAAAAAAAAAAAACAAAGACATTACTTACATATGTGGTGTATCTCGCAATAACTAAAGAGAATCCTCCAAAATTGATAGATAATTGATATACAAGATGCCATTTTGAATTAATGACACCGAGATCTCTTTAAAAGAAAAATTCGGTGGCATAAACAAAACACTGAAGAAAATCTCAACAATAAAAGAAAACATTTGTTTTCTTCCTTTTATCCTCAATTCTCATACACTGATTCAACATAAAGTGAGAAATATTTTCATCTAACTTAGTACTATTGTATTTTTTGACAAGTTAATCAAACATTTTTAGATTGTTAAATCAAACAAATAATTGTATCGAAAAACATAAAATTATGTAGTCATGACGACTATGACATGACCAGTGATCCAGCAAAGTTCCAAAGAGTCAAAAATCTCAAGTCTTTTTTTTTTTTTTTTTTTTTTTTTTTGAGGAACAAAGAAAAATACAGTATTTATTTATTAATAATTCAATTATGGGAAACACTTTAATGGAGAGAAAGAAAAATGGACTCTGAATTATAGTATATCTCAAGTTCCTAAAGCTTTTGGCAATTTGATAATGGCGTGATACCTTTTTTCATTCTCTCAACAAACGCGCCTCTAAATCTCTCTCTCATCTTCTCCGACTCCAATTTCTTGCAATTCACTCCAACTTCTTCTTCTCTCTCTCTCTCTCTCTCTCTCTCTCTCTCTCGAGATTTCGTTTCTCACGTTTTCTTCACCAAATATGGGAACCTGCTTCTCCAGCTCCACTAAATCCACGGCTGAGATCTCTCCCTTTGACCTCGTCGTCAAACCTCCTCCTTCTTCCACCGCCGCCGCCACTGCACCACCAACCCAACGAATCCCCACCGCCACGGCCACAAAAACAGAGACGGTGAGCTTCGCCGCAACAGTGAGATTGTACGGACCACCTAACAGTCTGGTGACTTCGTATCTCCGTTTCGCTCTTCTTCACAAGAAAGTCCCTCTCCGTTTCGTTCCATCGGAAGACCAAAAGCCGACGATTCAAATCGGATCGGAGACTGTATCAGGAGGATCTCTAGAGGTTCTTCTCCGTTACATCGAGGATAAGTTCCCGGAGCCGCGTTTGATGATTTGGAAGTTTAATCTAGAAGGTTTCGACGAAGCGACTCCATTGATAGTGAGAGCGATTTGGCTTCAGCATAGGAGTATGTTGTGGCATATGGAGAGGATGTTGAGATGGTCGGAGGATCTAGCGGCGCGTGGAGGTAAAAAAGCGGTGGATCCGTCGGTGGGAACACCGAAGATGGAGATTAGGAAATTTGCAAAGAGTTATACACATTTGCAAGAGCTTATGCTTGAACATGCTCAAATGGAAGAGAGAATCTTGTTCCCTGTTCTTGAATCTGTTGATCGAGGTAAAACAAAGAACTGATTTTTTTGGATTTTATTGTCAAATGTTGAAATTGATCTCTCTGCAAATTTTTGTGAAGGGATGTGTAAAAGTGCAAATGAGGAACATGGGAGAGAATTACCAATGATGAATGGAATCAAAGAAGATATCAAATCCATTGGAGTGTTGGATTCTGGGATTTGTTCAGAAGCTCTCTTTAGTCTTGCTTCACGTTTCAAATCATTGCAGGTATAATGAACAAAAGTCTACCTTTGTGTTTTTTGTAATGATTGACTTTGGAGGTTTTTGTTTTGAACACAGATGATGTGTAAAACACATTTTGAAGAGGAAGAGAAAGATTTATTGCCAATGGTGGAAGCTGCAGAGATGGGGAAAGAGAAGCAGAAGAAATTGTTGAATCAAGGCTTAGAAGTTATGAGTGGGACTCATTCTAATTCGTTTGATTTCCTACTAGAGGGTCTTACTCCTCAAGAAGCTATGCAGTATCTTGACTTGCTCATAAAATTTGGTGATCCAGATCTTATCTCATCTTTTCTCTGCTCTGATGTTGTTGACTGAATTATCTTTTATAGGTTTACTTTGTGAAAAACTACTGTTGTTGTGTGTGGGGTTGTGAATTTTGTGTATATAGAGTCAGATTGTTGTTTTCAGGTGTTGCAATGTTTTTCTCATTCTTTTAGATAAAAAAAAACAAACAAGGAAGGTTATGTAACTCTTAAGAGGGCAACAGATGTTTCTAGGATGGTTTATCCAAGTTTTCAGCAAGGTTAATTCGACTATTATTTTTGATAATCGGGAAATTATCAACACTTAATCTTCGTAGCGTGTGAAAAGAGTTGCCAATATTAAACTGCATAGAAAATCTCGAATCCTTCAACCATTGAAACCACCACGAGTTGGTTTAGTTAATTCGGATTTTTTTTTTTTTTTTTTTCTTTTTGTCATTTTTCGGTTCAGAATAAAAATTGCCAAAAACCTAAAATTTATTGGTTCAAGATTAATAATAGGGCTCAATTGGCGTCGGTTTTGAGAGATTTGTCGATTACTCAAGAGTAATGCTTTTCCCTTCCTACTTGTTTTATGCTTTTGGACTTAAACCACCGACAAAACAAGAAAAAGTAGATGACTTGAAACAGAAACTAACTAAAAAAGCTGAAACAGAAGAGGAAAAGCTGGTTAAAAGCGTATTTACACGATTCAGAATCACTACAAAAACTACTTGGGCGGTCACAAACATTAGACCGGTCGTATTGCCAAAACTAACGACTCGATGTCATCAACCTCTCTTCTCTCGATTTCTCCTTTTATAATTTTAAAATCATTTCTTCTTTTATGAATCTAAAAGATTGACAACAAAAACAAAATGGAGAAAAAAAAAGAGTGGATGTAACCTTTTATCTGTTTGGAACGTCAAAATTGTCGGGTTCTCCTGAATCGAGCTGAATAAATATGTACACACATTCTTGGCTTTTTGACTATGCTATTACCCGTTGAGCTTAGCTAAGAACTGGCTAAGATTGTACTCTTCTGTGTACTGTGATTGATCCCACAGTTCTTCTAAGTTTCCTAGAATTGCCTTCAGTCCTTTTCCAGTTCCAGCAATCTGGTCATTATCCTCTGATCCATTCTTCGAAGACGCACCACCCTACAATAAAGACCGATAATTGAGGATTAACCAAACTTCTTCTTCTGTTAGAGAGACTTGCTATAAAATAAAATGAATACCTTTTTAGAAGTTTCAGCTGAAGCAAATAAGTCGAGTAACTGATCAGTGTTCATTGTCTTCATACTTGCATTCTCAGCATTGATTACCGTATTGGCAACCGACACTTTGAATCTTTGGAGACTCATCACTTTCTCTTCAAGTGTGCCCCGCATTATCAGACGGTGTACATTTACAACTCTCTTCTGTCCCAATCTATGTGCTCTGTCCATCGCCTGCCACAGTTTGTTCACCTCTATATTAGCAAACCTCAATAATAATAGACCATCTTAAGTGTGTGCCAATACTTTTTTTCATTCTTTCCAATCGAAAATGAAAGAGATGTGGAACTTTTCCTCCTTGCAAAGTGAAATTCGGCCAATTCCATGGACGTAAGCCAAAGAAAAATATAAATCCTTACCTGATGATCACGCATTGGATTCCAATCATGCTCCATAAATACAAGTGTATCAGCAGAGGTCAGGTTCAACCCAAGCCCACCAACTGAAGGATCAGAAAGAAGTTAATTCAGAGAACTTGCTGACAATATCAACTCAAAATAGCAGAATTTCATTGTTGAATGGAAAAAGCATACCATGTGTTGTCAGGAGCAGAACATCAATTGTAGGATCTGAATTAAAGGCCTTCACAATCTCAAACCGTTTCTCCGGTACAACTGAACCATCTAGTCGCATATATGTGACACTGTTTATAAGAAAAAGGTAAAACAGATAAGCAAAAGAAGCCAGATATAAGGATGGAACATGGCTGCTAAGCTCCGGCACAAAAAACAAACTAAGCTCAATACAACTTAAGCGAAAAAGGCTGCTGATCAGTTTTAGACTTTTCAAGTCAGAAATTAGGAGACCACTTAATCAGTACAGAGTCCTCTAATAGAACTACACTGACAATAAAAAGAGTATATTCACAAGTTGAACTCACCTTTTCATGTGGGTTTGAAACAAGTCCTTTTCAATGATATCCAGCAAAGCCTGCATAATATAACATAGTTAGGTCTTGGACAATCTTGTAAGGAAACAAACCCAACGGAAAAATGGAAGAAATCAGAGATGTAAATACTTTGTGCTGTGCAAATATCAGAACTCTGTGCTGGCCTACACTAAGAGTGCCATCTGAACTAGAAGCATCAGAACCTATTCCACATTCTTCTAAAATTTCCTGAAGAGCAACAAGCTTTGGAGAGTGTTGAACTTTGTGAAGCTCAGTGATAATATCCGAACATCCATTTATCATTGCTGACAAATCAGAAGCCACCGGCTCTGTAACCTTATCCCCAAGAACAAGAAGCGGATGACTGCAGAGTTTAAGCAGGTACTGTAGTGCCTGGAAAATTAAAACCCAAACAAAAATCAGGTCTCCCCATACTGTAAAATTGATAGGTGGGAGTGAATATAAATATTGCTGTTGCCTTCAATGCAGCAAACAATATTATACCTGGAAAACGTGTGTGGATGCTTTTGTTGGCGCAACATCTGCATTTCCGGAATCTGCTGACCCATCAACTTTTATGATACTAGATATTTCTTGCTTAGCACCTGAACCAGAAAATTGCTCATAAAGCTTCAACTGCACAGGACTAAGGTCACAGTATCTGTCCTGAATGATTTTTTCTGGCAAATCAGAGAGGACTTCCTCTTTCGTACGTCTGAGTAAGAATGGCATAACCTACGTGATATGAAGATGTTATGAGGTCATGATGTTACAAATTCTCAACAATTGCAACGGAAAATAAGAAGCCGGAAAAGATGAACTCAAGAAACAGCAGTACCTGCTTATGGAGTGCTTCCATTGCCAGTACACCCGCTTCAGCATCCTTAGCAGAGCATTTAGGATCTCTAGCTGCCAGCAACGGTTTTCCATAAGATGCTTGAAACTGCCCAATAAAGAAACACATGTCTCGTTTATGACAACAAAGAATATCCAAAAATACTTCTTCAAAGTACAACTTTCAAACGTGACCCTATAAATTGGTAATTTGTAACAACAAAAAGCAGGAAATATGTATAAGCGCTACCTGTCTCTCTGTCCCAAGAAATCCAGGCATCAAGAAGTCAAAAAGGGACCACAGCTCCATGATATTATTCTGCAAAAAAGGAAACAATATCACTCAAGATAAAAGAACACGTATTAAACTTTCTGGGAAGTCGAGCACTCCATTGTAACCTGTATTGGTGTTCCACTAAGGATAAGTCGGTGCTGGGCCTTCAATTGTTTTACTGCTGAAGTTATTTTAGATTTAGCATTCTTAATTATGTGCCCCTCATCCAGGATACAGTAGTTCCATGAAAATTGTGTCAGATAATCAACATCCTTGCGGACCACATCATAAGATGTTATAATGACATTGTGGTTGTTGAACTGTTCACGGAGAGAAACACGGTCTTGAACAGAGCCAACATACTGCAACACGCTTAGCAGAGAAAGGTCGATATACTTCTCAATTTCAAATGCCCAATGACCAACTAATGTTGAAGGGCAAACAATTATAGATGGAAAAACATCTGGTTCATCTGTTGAACCACGACGCTCTGCTGCATCAGATGCCACAATTGCAGATGCTTGAAGCGTCTTACCAAGCCCCATATCATCGCAGAGAATTCCATGGAGCTTAAAACGCTTCAGGAATCCTAACCAATTGATTCCTTCTTGTTGATACCTGAAAACAGAAAACTGATAAATATTCCAGAATAATATTTCAAAAGCAATAAAGTTCCCACTCAATTCAATTCAACAATATAGAAAATTGATATAGATTATAAAATGCGTCTAATCCCTATCAACCAAGGACCGGGATAAGACAAGACCAAATTTCCTGAATTCAACCCTGCTCAAACCAACAAAAAGTTCAATGTCCTACCATTTCTCACAAACCACACCCTCAATTTTGTTTAGATGCAACTGAGAAAACCAAGGCAAGAAAACCAGGAAATATGACAGTGAAACGACCAAATCAGAAAGACAACACAGACACCTCGAGACACTCAGAACAGAGAATAAACTTTCATTTAATCTAGACTAAATTACCTTCTTAATTGAACTTTTAGCTCAGTGCAAAGCTTGTAATCATCTATATGGGAGTTGTCAAGTAGCTGTTCCAAAAATTTTGCATCCTCTGCATTGCTAGATAGATCCTTGCTCAACCCGACAGGAGGGGGTACGCCACGTGCTAATGGAAGCATAGGTACAAGGGCAGCAAAGCTACGTGTCACGCTCTGCCTGACTGAACTGTCAACATCGCTCATGCATCTTAGGAGGGGAACAACCAATAGAGGAGCATATGGAACCAGTTCAACACCCAGCCCTTGAACAAGTAAACCAATAAGCATTCCTGCGCCTTGTCTAGCATTAATGCATGTCAAATCTCCCAACATTGGAATAGCACCTTCCACTACTGCTGCCATGACATTTGTTGTCATTGATTTAGCCATTGTCATAACACATCTAGAAGCAGCCAATCTAACAGCTACATGGGAATGGCGAACGCATTTGAAAATACAAGGCAGGAGACTGAGTAGTCTAGGTTTAAGTGTTTCTTCCATCACTGGTGCTATTGAACGTACCACCTGGAAAACATAGAAAATAAAAGTACACCAAGTTAAGGCTCTGCATATTCAATATTAAGCTTCGTTTTTGGCATATTCCTAAAACTAAACCTTCAAATAACACAAGCAAAAACACTTCACTGGGTATACCTGGATGTTGTTTATTAAGACCTGTGGATCCGAAATAGATTCTATTTTAAGGTCAATATTCTGTTGATCAGCAGGAATTTCAGGAACAAGAACCTCAGTGAGGCACTCCCACAATTTTGGGAGTTTGTCAAACAAGGAACCACCAAATTTCAAGCTTAAATGCTTCAACGCGAGTTCAGATCCTCTCCTCGTGATAAAACCCTCAACTTTAGACCTATCTTCGCCACCAGCCAACACGACTTTTGCTTTTTGTTTTCCTGCGTTACTCCGCGAGGACAGAAAATCCATATCATCAATGATATCCATAGAGCAAATGATGCTAGCTTGAGGTGTTTCGCTAGGATCCATGCACGTCAAGCTA